TCTCCTGTGCCCATCAGGGAGCGAGCAGGATTAATACAGGTTCCCTACAGCCCTAGACAGCATTTATTGCAAGTGTGCGTACTTCAGGGTCCTCATGATGTGTGCACCTGGGTCTACAGACCATATTGCCACTTAGGGGTGCCTATTTTTGAGGGGACCTTTAGGAGGTTGTATTTGAGGGTTATGAGGTGGAATTTAGGAGTCTTTGGGGAGGACTACCTATGTAAGTAATATTCATTCAATATGTATCACTAACACTACTCAATTTTTATGGAGGAGTAATGAGGCCCCCAGAAGTTGAATGTCTGCTCACTGATCACACAGTTGGGAACTAGTAGGCAGGTATGATTATCATGAGGGCCCAAGACCTCTTTTGGTCACTTATAAGTTGAGACCTCTTTTGGTCACTCTGTTTCTCTGACAAGGAGACAACTAATAAGTTATGTCAGAAAATGAGAGTGAGGACCTCCACCACAAAACTCCAGAGTTGTCAGAATCAGCTGTCACAAAACTCTGGCATTGACAAAATTTTGCAGAGGCCAGGAAAGTGTTTATTTAAATAACCAAAAACAAATAAACATATAAACAAAAAAGACATGCCTCAATCATGGTAACAGCCCCCTGCTTTGTAGATGTTAACTTATCCTAATCTAATCCACCTTTTTTCTGCTTTGTGGTAGCCTTTAAAAATAACATCTGGTATTCTTTTCACAAACTCATGCCAAAGATTTCATACATCTGAGATGTTCCTTGGAAGATCCCACATGTAAAAATGCCTGTAGTTGTCTGGATTTGGAGCTCCCTCAGTACAAAGGATCTTGTCCCTGGGGATTTGCCAAAATAATTCCAGTATCAGAAGTAAAGTTTGAAGAAATATTGGCAAGAAACATCCCAAATTTGATTACAATGATCTACATATCCAACCAGCTAAAAAAAAAACCTAAACACAATAAATTCAAAGAGATTTATACTAAGACACATTGTAATCCACCCATTCAAAGCCCAAGACAAAAGGAGAATCTTGAAAGCAGAGATTCTCAATGAGATTTACATCTGATTTCTCGTGAGAAACCATGCAGAGCAGAGGGCAGTGGGTTGGCTTACTCCAAGTCCTGAAAGAAAATAACTGCTGACCAAGAATTTTATATTAGGTAGAAGTGTTTTAGAAAATGAAGACAAAATTGGGACAAACCCAGATTTAAAAACAAACAAACAAATAAACAAACAAACAAACAAAATATCTGAGAGAATCTATTGCTAATATATCTGCCCTAGCAGAAGGCAGAATTCCTAGATGGAGTCCCTCAGACTAAAACAAAACAATATTTGACAGCACCTCAAATCCATAGACTGAAAGAGCATCAGAAAATGTAATTCTGTACATAAATACCAAACACAGTTTAAAAGTGTTCATTGTCTCAATCATGCTAGAGTCAATACTAGCCACCACATATGTCCACATTCAAATCTCCAGAATCCGTGGATTTTTTTTTTTTTTTTTTGTATAGCAAAAGAAACTGTGCAGACATAATTAAATTCAGAGCTTTGAGCTGAGGGAATGAATACTGGAATTGCCTGCATGAGTCTGATATGCAAGAAGAGTCAAAGTCAGAGGTGAAAGTATGTTAACAGAAGCAGAGAATATGTATTTGAAAACAGAGGAAGGGGCCACTGGCCAAGAGATACATATGGCCCCAAAGCAGGAAAGGCTAAGGACATATCTAAAAACGTGAGAGTCTCCCGATGAAGCCACTCCTGCCAATATCTTGCAACACTTGACTTCAGCCCAGTAAAATGGGGTTTGGACTTCTGACATCCAGTACTGTGAGAGAATAATTCAGCCATTATTTCAGCCATTACATTTCTGGAAATGTATTGCAGCAACATTAGGAAACTAATGAGGTAACTTCCCTCCCTACCACCTCAGTGTCTGAATTGAAAGACAACTGCATAGAGAAACCATTGTAAATCTGTGCTAGTTGGAACACAGTATATAAAGATGGAATTGTGATAATATCACAAAAAAAAGAGGGAATAAAATATACAGAAGCAGAATGTTATCTACCATTAAAATTAAGCTCATATTAATCTGAACTAGATTGCTATACATTAAAATGTCTATTTGAATATCGAGAACCACTGAGAAAATGCCTGTACAATATATACAAAAAGAAAGAACATTGTAATTTAAAAGGTAGACTTTTAACTAGAAGATGTCCAATTAAAAGATGATTGGCAGAGCAGATTTTTTTTAAAAAACGTGACAAAACTGCATGCTATTGACAAAAGACAAATAGATTTCAAGTAAAATATGTAAAATACATATGTTTTCCTATGCAATTAGTATTCAAAAGATTGTTGCTATGGCTATACTAATAGCAGACAAAAGAGATTTTAAATAAAATAATAAAATAAATAAAATAAAATAAAATAAAATAAAATAATAAAATAAAATAAAACAGAAATCAAAAAGACCTTACAGAGTGATAAATAAGTCAACTAGTCAAAAGAAATAAGATTTTTAAATATCTGTTCATTTAACAACACAGTTCCAAATACCTGAATGAAAAAAATGATAATATTTGAGGAAAAGATAGTTCAAAAACATAGCCTATAACATGTGGAAAAACAAAAGGTTTCTGAGGAACCATAATACCTGAACAACATTATAAATCACTTAGATCCAACAGACATATAGAAAACACTGCTGCCATCAAGAACTGAAGAGATATCCCTTCGAAGCAAAAGAGGAACACACTCAAGAATGGACTTCATAATAGGCTGTAAAACAGGTTCTGAAATTGAATAGTTATTTTCTATGACCACAAGGGAGTGAGGAAGGAAATGGTGGAAATTTGAAAATATGTGAAAACTGACACATGCTCACAAAATTGGTTTGATTATATTGTGGCAGTGTGACCCTGCCTGGCCATTTCCTGGTTGAATGAGTTTGTTCCTGACTACCCTCCCCCACCTCAAGGTATCTCTAAGTAACATTCATTTATTCATAGCTTGTCAACTAATTAATGTTATTCTTTATATGTATAGTTCTATAGGATTGACAAGACTATAAAACTGCCTGTTATGTTACAATCTGCGCTCAGTCTTTGTAAGATAATTAGCAGAGCCAGTGCCAGCATCAATAAATGCTGCCTCCTCCTTATAGCCTCTGTGTCCCATCTCTCCATTCATGAATCCACAATATTTCATCTTTCACAAATAATTGTAGAACCCTTTAAACAACAATGAGGACTTACAGTACCTCAAGGGAAATTTATAGCTGTGAATGCCTACGTACAAAGAAAGAAAGATTTCAAGTCTCTAAGGCTAAGCTTTCATCTTGATAAACTAGAATACAAACCTAAATCCAAAGTAAAGAGGAAGAGTAAAACAATAAAAATTAGTGCATGAATGAATCAGGATAGAAAAAGAAGAGAAAAAAGCAACAAAAAACAAAACTTGGTTATTTGAAAAGAATAATAAATTTCCAAGACTTAGCTAGACTGAACAAGGGAAAGGGAGAGAAGATTCAGTTACTAAAGCTGCAAAGAATGAGATAACACTACCAACCTTATAAAAGTAAGGATGATAAGAGAGTGCTATGGGCAATTACATGCCAAGAGATTTCATAGATAAAATAGTCAAACAGCGGAAAAACAAAAGCGACAGAAATTAACTTACAACAGTAGAAAACCAGAATAGGCCCATAGCAAATAAGGGGATTGAGTTTGTAATGAAACTTTCCACCAAGAAAAGCCTGAAACCAGCTGGTTTCTATGGGGCTCTCCAGGAAATGCTCTCCTGAAGATGTCAACAGCAATATGCAAAAGACTTAGGGTGTGCCACATGAGAGCAAGCAGTTGATGCGAATTTTTATCATTATTAAACAGAAATGCATCGGGGAATTACAGTGTACCTAAAGCTTCGTTATACGGTGCTGCCTCTGTTGACCTGTTGGTGTCTTTCCTATTTCACAGGCCTTGATAGCATTAGCATTCTGCTTCGCAGTATTCCTCTCAGTGTTTCAACGCCTCCTTTAGAAGTAACAGCCTCAAAGGGATTTTCTCAAGTGCGTGGAAATGTCCTCACCCACAACTAATTTCATGTTAATATAAAATATATGTTACTCTATCAATATTTCCTTACTACCTGCATTTAATGTGTGCTATTTACTGCGCCCAAGGCAGTGTGCAAACTTTTAATTTTATTTTACTTCCATGTAACTAGGATTTCAGATTTCATAACTCATACTGAAATGAGTTATGAGATGGAAGCTGTGCTCTGAGGGGTATGGCAGAGGAATCCGAGGCAGCGGTGGCCCATGAAGCAGCCAGGTCAGGAGTGAGGAATGGAAATCAGGCAGCCCTGGTGGCAGAGTGGAAATTTCACCGCCTGAAACCAGGTGCTGTTAAGGAACGATGAGCAGTTCCTGCCTGTGGCTCCATCCACCTCTAAGGCCAGTCATTTCTGTCCTGCACTCCTGAGCTCCTGGGCACCCTTGAAGCCTTTCAAAGTCATCATCATCTTCAGTTCAAAAAACCCTCAGCTTCTGCTAATGGGCCTCTGTAGGCCCCAGCCAGCATTGCTGGACAGAGACCAAGCCCAACTTCAGGATCAAGCCACTCCCTTCACAGTCAGTCTTTAGGCCTAAACTACCTGAGCTCAGACTCCTGATTCTGTCCCACCAGAGCAGCCCTTGTGCCAAGCACATTATCTTTTCCTTTCTTCCCTTTAAAATGGTGCTACTAGTTCTTAAGTTTTTGTTTCCCACAGAGTTGTCACTAACCACAAGCGTAGCCCACCACATTTGCACCATCTCTGACCCTCATGTGTCCAGCTTCCCACCATCCAAGAAGCTGTGTGTGTCTGGGCCGGATTCAAAACCAAGTTCTCCCTGTGCCTCTGCCTATTCTGTGATGTTCAAAGGGCCCTCAGGCCCTGGCAGCGTGAGTGTCTTTCCCCTGGAGACGCCTAGGCGAGGTGGTAGGCTGGGGGGCAGGAAAATGTCTCGGTCACCTGCCTGAGCTCCATTTCTGCTGTCCCCCTGAAACTGTTTCTTTTATGCCTCCATTCTTAGGGAATGCCAAAAAAGGGCAGTGAAGCAGACCTACACGAAGGTCTCTACTCCCGTCAGCTGTGAGTATGCCTAAGCCTTGGGATGTGAGGTGGGACAGGGCATGGCGAGTTATAGGGTTGGTTGGGGTGAGCCTTGATTCAGGGTCTCCTGTAACATATCAGGTATGTGCTGGGCCATGAGGCAGTGAAACATCTCCAGACATCCACTTCACCTCTTTTCTGCCTCTTGTAGTTCTACCTGCAGGAGAAGGACATTCTTAAAAATAGGGCTGATACATCACAGCCCCACCTTGCTGAGCTCAACAGCTATGTGTCTGTCAGCACCTCTATGGGCACCCTCGTTGAGGACTTACTTAGTGGTTTCCAGGTACCTCGGAGCATTACCCTGACTCCTGATTTTCTCAGGTCCCATTACTGGCTTGTTTGTTTAGAATTCATTTACTGGGCTAGCCTTGTGTGTCAGGTTTTGTCCTGGGAGGCTTAGGGGCAAGGACCTGGACTTGTCCTTGTGGGAACACACACCATTTCAGAAGAAGTGGCTAGACAGAGAGGCTATAAACCCTGAACGCTGAAAGCCAAACTACCTTGGTCTGTGAGAGCTCTTCTGGTTGTATGACAGTGAACTTAGTTTTTTCTATCGGTAAAACAGGAACAATAGCAAAACCGATGAGAGTGTCTATGCGTGTTAAAGTTAAACACTTAGAATAACAGTTGGCATGTGGAAAGCTTCATATAGGTATTTCTTAAATAACTGGATGGGAAGGAGGAGCTGTAGGTGCCAATGTGCTGCCCTGGGTTTCCCAGAGGGTCAGGGTACTGGAACTTGTGATGTCGGAGTGGGAAATTATCCTGGTGAATGAGGAAGTAATTCAGACATCCCTACGCATTGGGGCTACGCGTGTGGTGTGTTTATTTTTTTATTTAAATTGGGGGTGGTGGTTTTGTTTATCAGCTTCCTGTATACAGTGGTTAGATGTATATATAATTCACTGGGAAGGTAATTCCACAAATTGGTAGCCCCAGCACTATACGCAACCATTACAGTATTACTGACTTCACTGTTTGTGCTGTAATCCACATCCTCATGTCTTTTGTGACTACTAGTTTGTACTTTTTCATCCCTTCAACTTTTATACCCAGCCTTGCCACCTGACAATCACTGGTTTGTTCCCTGTACTGTGATTAAGTTTTTTGTTGTGTTTATTCTTTGCTTTGGTTTCAGAATCCATACTCTCTTCCTGGTACCTCTACCTTTCTTGTCATAGTCTGAGGATTCCTCTTCTTCAGTGAGTCTCTCACTCACTGAGAGTGATGCATGTAATATTTTAATATAGTATTTATAGAAGAGAACTGAACCAGCAGAACTTGAGTCTTGACACCTCACTCACCCCAGCGTGCCTTTCTCCTTCGTTTGCTTCCACCCCACCCAACCCCAACATTTGGCCCTGTGTACAAGCTCTCTTCTCTTTATAGGTGGTAGTCCTTAGCAGCACACCCTTGGAGGAACAACTGCAGGTGGGTGCGTTCTGTCACAGCCATGGAATCAAGCTGGTGGTGGCAGATACACGGGGACTGTTTGGGTGAGTGCCATCTTCTCCCTTCCCTTCCAACCCCTGACAGGCCCCAACCCAGAAGGCCTGGCTCCCACTGCCCTCATGCGCACCCCAACCGGCTAGGTTTTTGATTCTGCGTGTTCAGCTCTCCCCCAGGGGGCATGAACAGTGCCTGGTTGCCAGAAGTGATGGGCTGCTTGCCTAGCCAGAATTCAGTGCATGTTAGAGGGCACTTGGAAAACCTGTTTGCATGGGTCTCAGGCAGCGGTACTGTTGTCTCCCTCGATAGGCAGTTGTTCTGTGACTTTGGCAAAGAAATGATCCTCACAGATTCCAATGGGGAGCAGCCTCTCAGCGCTATGATTTCTATGGTTACCAAGGTAAGGAGATTGTCCCCAGGGGTCCTGTCAGGGAAGTGGGCAGTAGTAGTCATTCCGGTCCTCTCCTGCTGCCCTGAGCCTATCTCTGAGGCTCACTTCTCTTCCAACCAGGACAGCCCTGGTGTCGTCACCTGCCTGGATGAGGTCCGGCATGGATTCGAGAGCGGTGACTTTGTCTCCTTCACAGAAGTCCAGGGCATGAACGAACTCAACGGCACCGGCCCCATGCAGATCAACGTTCTGGGTAAGCCGGGGCTGAGGGCAAGGACAAGTTGCTTAGAGCAAATGAGAAGTGACTCTAGCTTGTGCGCTCACCCAGAGGCCAAGAGGTGACTGCGTATCGGTAGTCTGAATTGTGCCAGAGGCCAAGTGCAGCGGCCTCTCTGAAATGTGAGCGAGGACTTAGGAGGACTGTGTTCATGGGACCTTACGAAAGAGGTTTGTGTTGAACCAGTGGCCGAAGAGGTTTATACCGCTGGCGTTTGATTTGATTTCCATTTTGGTGTCTTGCTTGTATTTCATTGTTAAGTGCTTGCTTTAGAAATGTGGCATACAACTTCCAGTATACTTAGCATGGTCTCAAAGTAATCCTTTTCACTGTACACGTGAAAAAGGGCCTCACAACACAATGTCCAGGTTGTGGTTCATCATTTGCTATTGTTCATATATGTTGTCGTGGGTCTGAAACTTGTCAATACATTGGTTTTGTCTCGGTATTCAACTTTCTAAAGCGATTTGAAGACGAAAGAAGAAAATTTATTTTTACCCACATGTCACCATTTCCAGTGTACTACTTTGTAGATCCAGGTTTACATCTGGTATCATTTTCCTTCTACAAGAGGGATGTCACCTTTCAAGGCGACGAAAGGGACCAACCAGACCCCGTGAACGAAGGCCTGGGCCTGGCTCTCTGTCAGAGGCCCCTACCTCACAGCCCCCCCTGGGACTGTAGCCTCGTCTGTGTATGTAGCGGGGGTCCCTGGACTGGGCCTTTCTGTTCCAACATCCGACCCTCCCTTGGCCTTGAGGCAAGGCCTTCAGCACCTGCTTCTCAGCACGTCTTTCTTTCTCGATGACCTTGGAGACATCTCTAGAGGAAGCATTTGTACTCAGTGCCTCACCTTCTGTGTCCACCTTACTGCCATCCCCCGGAAACCACTGTAGTTCCAACGTGTGCTAGAGACCCGCTCCCAGCGTCTGCTTTTGGAGAGTCCTCTGTTTGTCATGGTGCCAGTGTCATTGTCACGGGACCCCCAGTTATCTTCCCTCAGAAGTCACCGTGGGGCCAGGTACCAGGCGGGACTTGTTTGGACAGGGATTCCCACCTCACACATGGTTCCCCAGCCCCACATCCTCTCCCACCAGCGTCTGCCCTTGTACACCCTCTCATATTTTACTCCTAAACGCCCGTACCGGTGACTCTCCTTCCCAGCCTCACCTTGGTCTCTAAGTCTGCATTCAAGTGCGAACTGACAAGGTTCCTTAGCTCTGTGCCATTCTTCACAGCCTGCCCTCGGAGCCTTTCCAAGTCTCCATCATCTTCAGCTCAGAAAGCCGTCAGCTTGTGCTACTCGGCTTCTGTGGGCCCCAGCCGGCGTTGCTGGTCAGAGGCCCAGCCCGACTTCCGCATTTAGCCACTGTCTTCACGGTCAGTCTTTAGGCCTAAACTGCCCGAGCTCAGACTCCTGATGGTGCGCCCTCAGAAGCAGCCCTAGTGGCCAGCACATTTTTCCCTTTCTTCCTTTCCAAATGGTGCTACTAGTTGTAAGTATTTGTTTTCCCCAGAGCTGCCACCAAGCAAAAGAGAAGCCTACCACATCTGGACCATCTCTGACCTCTCAGATGTCCAGCTTGCCACCATACAAGGAGCTGTGTGTGTCTGGGCTGGATTCAAAACCAAGTTCTCCCTGTGCCTCTGCCTATTCTGTGATGTTCAAAGGGCCCTCAGGCCCTGGCAGCGTGAGTGTCTTTCCCCTGGAGACCGCCAGTCGAGGTGGTAGGCTGGGGGGCAGGAAAATGTCTCGGTCACCTGCCTGAGCTCCATTTCTGCTGTCCCCCTGAAACTGTTTCTTTTATGCCTCCATTCTTAGGGAATGCCAAAAAAGGGCAGTGAAGCAGACCTAGACGAAGGTCTCTACTCCCGTCAGCTGTAAGTATGCCTAAGCCTTGGGATGGGACGTGGGCCAAGGCATAGGGTTGGTTGGGCTGAACCTTGACTCAGGGTCTCCTGTAATGTGTCAGGTATGTGCTGGGCCATGAGGCAATGAAGCATCTCCAGACATCCAGTGTGCTGGTGTCAGGCCTCCGGGGCCTAGGTGTGGAGATCGCCAAGAATATCATCCTTGCCGGGGTCAAAGCTGTCACCCTGCATGACCAGGGCACTGCCCAGTGGTCTGATCTCTCCTCCCAGGTACCTCTTTGTGACTCTGTCCCCCTGCACGGGGCACCAGCCCCACTGGATTCTGCATCGACTTCACTTCTTTCCTGCCTGTACCCTCTTGTAGTTCTACCTGCGGGAGGAGGACATCGGTAAAAACCGGGCGGAGGTATCACAGCCCCACCTTGCTGAGCTCAACAGCTATGTGTCTGTCAGAGCCTATACTGGCGCCCTCGTTGAGGACTTCCTTAGTGGTTTCCAGGTACCTCGGAGCATCACCCTGCCTCCTGATTTTCTCAGGTCCCATTACTGGCTTGTTTGTTTAGAATTCGTTTACTGGGCTAGCCTTGTGTGTCAGGTTTTGTCCTGGGAGGCTGAGGGGGCAAGGACCTGGACTTGTCCTTGTGGGAACACACACCATTTCAGGAGAGAAGACGTGGCTAGACAGAGTGGTTACAAACCCTGAACGCCGAAAGCCAAACTGCCTTGGTCTGTGAGAGCTCTTCTGGTTGTATGACAGTGAAGTTAGTTTTTCTATCGGTAAAACAGGAACAATAGCAAAACCGATGAGAGTGTCTATGAGTGTTAAAGTTAAACACTTAGAATAACAGTTGGCATGTGGAAAGCTTCATATAGGTATTTCTTAAATAACTGGATGGGAAGGAGGAGCTGTAGGTGCCGATGTGCTGCCCTGGGTTTTCCCAGCGGGTCAGGGTACTGGAACTTGTGATGTCGGAGTGGGAAATTATCCTGGTGAATGAGGAAGTAAACTCAGACATCCCTACGCATTGGGGCTACGCGTGTGGTGTGCTTATTTTTTTATTTAAAGTGGGGGTGGCGTTTTTTGCTTATTAGCTTCCAGTACACAGGGCAGTACTTAGACATTTATATAATTGATGAGGTAATTCCTCCAATCAGTACCCCCAGCACCATGCACAGCTGTTACACTATTCCAGGCTACCCTGCCTTTGCCGTACTCCACATCCCCGTGACTGTTTCAGGACTACTAATTTGTACTTCTTCACCGCTTCACCTTTCACCCCCAGCCCTGCAACCGCCCTCTCTTCTGAAAGTCGCCGATTTGTTCCCCGTACCTGTGAGTCTGTTTTTTGTTGTGTTTGTCCATTTCTTTGGTTCTTAGCGTGCACTTATAAGTGAGATTGTATGGTATCACGGTTTCTCTGTCTGACTTACTTCACTCAGTGTGACATCCTCCAGGTCCACGTGTGTCATTGCAAATGGAGGCAAGTGAATGTGGGTTTGGCGGGCAAACCTAGACTTGGAGCAGAAGCAGAGTGTGACTTACTTTTCTTTGTCTCCTAGAGTTTAGGCAGGAAAGGATGAGTGTTATTCCGAGAAGTTAGGTAGTTGGTCTCCAAACTCTGTCCTCTTGGTACCTCTGTACCTTTCTTGTCATAGTCCGAGGATGCCTCCTTTTCACTGGGTCTCTCACTCACCTAGTATGACACATATAGATACTTTACAAATAGTGTTTCTAAAAAGGGGCTGAAGCAGCAGAACTTGAGTCTTGACACCTCACTCACCCCAGCGTGCCTTTCTCCTTCGTTTGCTTCCACCCCACCCAACCCCAACATTTGGCCCTGTGTACAAGCTCTCTTCTCTTTATAGGTGGTAGTCCTTAGCAGCACACCCTTGGAGGAACAACTGCAGGTGGGTGCGTTCTGTCACAGCCATGGAATCAAGCTGGTGGTGGCAGATACACGGGGACTGTATGGGTGAGTGCCATCTTCTCCCTTCCCTTCCAACCCCTGACAAGCCAAGGCCCAAACCTCCAGGGGCACTCACTACCCTCAAGCTCACCCCAGCCAATTAGGTTTTTGATTGTGGCATATTCAGCTCTCACCAGGGAGCATGAGCAGCACATGGTTGACAGCAGTGATGTTCTGAGTTTGCTTGGCAATGATTCAGTGCATCTTGGAGGGCACGTGGTATACCTGGGTGCATGGGTCTCAGGCATCAATTCTGTTGTCTCTCTCTGGAGCAATTGTTCTGTGATTTGGCAAGAAAATAGCCTCTCAGTGCTATGGTTTCTATGGTTACCAAGGACCTGTCAGGGAAGTGGGCAGTAGTAGTCATTCCTGACCTCTCCTGCTGCCCTGAGCCTATCTCTGAGGCTCACTTCTCTTCCAATCAGGACAGCCCTGGTGTCGTCACCTGCCTGGATGAGGCCCGGCACGGGTTTGAGAGTGGTGACTTCGTCTCCTTCACAGAAGTCCAGGACATGAACGAACTCAACGGCACTGGCCCCATGCAGATCAACGTTCTGGGTAAGCCGGGGCTGAGGGCAAGGACAAGTTGCTTAGAGCAAATGAGAGGTGACTCTAGCTTGTGCGCTCACCCAGAGGCCAAGAGGTGACTGCATATCGGTAGTCTGAATTGTGCCAGAGGCCAAGTGCAGCGGCCTCTCTGAAATGTGAGCGAGGACTTAGGAGGACTGTGTTCATGGGACCTTACGAAAGAGGTTTGTGTTGAACCAGTGGCCGAAGAGGTTTATACCGCTGGCGTTTGATTTGATTTCCATTTTGGTGTCTTGCTTGTATTTCATTGTTAAGTGCTTGCTTTAGAAATGTGGCATACAACTTCCAGTGTACTTAGCATGGTCTCAAAGTAATCCTTTCTCACTGTACACGTGTAAAAGGGCCTCACAACACAATGTCCAAGTTGTGGTTCACCATTTGCTATTGTTCATAATTGTTGTGGGTCTGAAACTTGTCAATACATTGGTTTTGTCTCGGTATTCAACTTTCTAAAGCGATTTAAAGAAGAAAGAAGAAAATTTATTTTTACCCACATGTCACCATTTCCAGTGTACTACTTCTCTGTAGATCCAGGTTTACATCTGTTATCATTTTCCTTCTACAAGAGGGATGCCCTTTAACATTTGTCATAGTGTGGGCTTTTCTGGTGATGAGTCATTGAGCTTTACAGTTTAAGCTTGAAATTCTCTTTATTTTGCGGCTATGTTGAAAGATATTTTTTGTGGGGCTGTACAGTTCCAGATTGACATGTTTTTCATCGCTTTAAAGATGTTGCTCGCATTATTGTCCACGAGAAGCCTGCTGCCCTTCTGGTCCTTGTTCCTCTGTAGGTAGCATGCTGCTTTTCCCTTGTTGTTAAGCAATGTGATTGTGGTGTATTTTAGTGTAGTTTTCTCCATGTTTGTTTTTCTACATGTTGTTTACTGAATTTATGTTGTCCGTGAGTTTATGGTTTTATCATATTTGAAGTTAGTGGTCACATTTTTCTTCAAAATAATACTTTCTCACTCCCTCCGGCCCAATCTTCTCTTTCCAGAAAGCCATTACGTATTATTAAGCCACTGAGTTTTACTTTTTGACTTTTTATTATAATACTGGATATTTTCTTTTACTGCGTCCAATTTGCTCATCTTTTGGTGTGTTAATTTGTTAATCCATCCATTGTATAAATTTAGTAGAGCAATAACATTAAAAGTGCTGTTTGAAATATTTCATGTGACACAAAAATTTCTAGAAAATCATTACTAAAATGAAGGAGATACTTGGAAGATTTTAAACACACAAATTACGGGTGAAAACTGCACATAGCCAACCAAGTTGTGGGACCAAAACAAGTTTTGGAATCAATAAGAGCCCCCGAATTTACAAATTTCTTGACAACTTAAGGCACAGACTGATGGTCTAGTAATTTTTTAAATTTATTTTATTCTTTTTTAAAGGCCAGTGTTTTTTGGTTTTGGGGATTTTTTTGTATTATATATACATAATTTTTTAAAGATTTTCTTTATTTATATTTCTCTCTCTCCATCTTCCCTCTCTTCTGGTAACCACTACTCCATGGTCTATGCACATGATTCTCTGTTTGTCTTGTTCATTTGTTGTTTTTAGGTTTGTATACCACATATGTGATATCATGTGATTTTCAGCCTTTTCTGTCTGTATTATTTCACATAGTATGATTATTGCAAGGTCCATCTATGTTGTCTCAAATGACAGTATTTCATCTCTTCTTATGGCTGAGTCATATTCCATTGTCTATATGTACCACAGCTTCTTTAGCCAATCATCTATCATAGGACACTTTGGTTGCTTCCATATCCTGGCCACTGTGAATAATGCTCCTATGAATATCAGTGTGTCAATATCTTTTCTGATAGGAGTTTTCAAGTCTTTGCGATAAATATCCAGTATAGGGATTCCTGGATTATACAGTGGATTAATTGTTAGTTGTTTGAGGAACGTCCATACTGTTTTCCATAGTGGCTGTACCAATTTTCAGTCCCACCAGCAGTATATGAGAGTTCCTATTTCTCCAGATCCTATTCAGCATTTATTACTTGTACTGTTGCTTATAGCCATTCTAACAGGTGAGAGATGGTATCTCATCGTGGTTTTGAATTGCATTTCCCTAATAACTAGTGATATACATCTTTTCATTTATTTTTTGGACACATTTATTTGTATATCCTCTAAGGAGAAGTGTCTGTTCAGGTCCTCTGTCCATTGGATTGTTTTTTTATTTGTTTGTTTGTTTTTTGTTATTGAGTCATATGAGTTCTCTGTATATTTTGGACAGGAGCCCCTTATTGGAAGTGTTGCTTGCAAATATATTTTCCCATTCAGATGGTTGTCTCTTTACCTTGTTTATGGTTTCTTTTGCTGAGCAGAATCTTTTTAGTTTGATGTAGTCCCTTTCATTTATTTTTGCTTTTCTTTCACTTGCCTTTGAGGACAAATTCATAAAATCCTCTTTACGTCCAAGGTCCTTGACTTTCATCTTATGTGTTCTTCTATGCATTTTATTGTTTAGGTTTTATATTCAGGTCCTTAATCCATTTTGATTTCATTTGGGTGAGTGTTGATAAACAACAGTCTAGTTTTATTCTTTTGCAGGTGGCTTTCCAGTTTTCCCAGCACCATTTATTGAAGAGGCTTTCCTTTCTCCACTGTATTTTTTTTTTTTTGTCAAAAATTATTTGCCCATGTAAATGTGGATTTACTTCTAGACTCTCAAATCTGTTCCACTGCTTTCTGTGTCTGTGTTTCTGCCAATACCATGCGATTTTAATTACTGTCGCTTTGAGGTATAATTTCAAGTCAGGCAGAGTGATGCCACCAGCCTCTTTCTTTTTTTCTCAGGATTGCTTTGGGAATTCAGTGTCTTTTGTGCTTCCATACAAATCTGATGATCTTTCTGTTGTATTTCTTTAAAAAATACTGGTTAGATTTTTATGGGGGTTGTAATAAATATGTATACTATTTCAGGTAATAGGTCATTTTAACTATGTTGATTCTTCCAATCCAAGAACACAGAATATATTACTATTTCTTTGTATTTTCTTCATTTTTTTTTTTAATAGGGTCTTACGGTTTTCATTATATAGGTCCTTCACTTATTTCATTAGATTTATTTCTAGGTATTTTATTCTTTTTATTGCAATTGAAAAAGGAATTATTTTTCCCACTTCTTTTTCTGATACTTCATTATTAGAGTATAGGAACACTATGCATTTTTGAACATTGATTTTGTATCCAGAAATGACTGTATTTGCTTCTTGTTTCTAGTGGTGTTCCTGTGGAATCTTTAGGGTTTTCTATATAGAGAATCATGTCATCCACAAATAGTGACAATTTGACTTCTTTCTTTCCTATTTGGATGACTTTTATACTTTATATATTTCTCTTGCATAATTGCACTCTCTAGGACCTCCGAAGTTATATTGAATAACAGTGGTGATAATGTACAGACTTGCCTTGTTTCTGATCTTAGAAGGAAGATTTTTAGTTCTCACCATTAAGTAAAATGTTGGCTGAGTGCTTGTCATATATGGCCATTTTTATGTTAAGTTACTTTCCTATTATACACATTTAGTTAAGTGTTTTGATCATAAATAGATGCTGTATCTTGATGAAGGCTTTTTCTGCATCTATTAATATGATCATATGATTCTTATTTTTAATTTGTTTATGGGGTGTATCATATTAATCGATTTGCATATGTTGAACTATCCCTATGCCTCTGTGATGAAGGCCCCTTGGTCGTGGTGTATAATCTTTTTTAATATGTTGCTGTATTCAGTTTACTAGTATCTTATTTAGGACTTTTGCATCTGTGTTCATGAGAGATATTGGTCTGTAGTTTTATATTTTTACCAGGTTTTGGTGAAAAAACCTGTAATATTGTAATATTGGTCTCATTAGATGAGTTGGGAAATATTGCCTCCTCTTTGATTTTTTGGAAGAGTTTGAGGAGAATAGGTATTAAATATTCTTTGAATGTTTGGTAGAATTCACTGGTGAAGGCATCTAGTCCTGGACTTTTACTTTTTGGTAGGTTTTTGATGATTGTTTAAATTTCCATAAGCTAATTGGACTATTTAGATTTTCCATTTCTTCTTGATGCAGTCTAGGAAGGTTGTATTTTTCTAAGTTCTGATCCATTTCTTCTAGATTGTTGAATTTGGTGTTATATATTTTTTCATAGTATTCTCGTATCTTTTGTATTTCTGCAGTGTCTCGTAATTTCTCCTCTTTCATCCCTGATATTGTTTCCTTTCTCTTTTCTTTTTTAGTGAGTGTGCCAGGGGTTTGTCAATTTTGTCAAGCTTTTCCAAGAACAAGCTCTTTGTTGCATTTATTTTTTCTATTTTTTTGTTTGTTTGTTTTAAATTTCATTTATTTCTGCTCTAATTTTGATGATTTCTGTCCTTTTGTTGACTTTAGGCTTCATTTCTTCTTCCTTTTCTAGTTTTTTAAGATGAAGTGTTAGGTTGTTTATTTCAGATTGTTCTTATTTTTGGAGGTAGACCTGTGATAATATAAGCTTTCCTCTTATGACTGATTTTTCCATGTCCCAAAAGTTTTGATATGTTGTATTATCATTATCATTCATTTATATGTATTTCTTGATATCTCTTTTTATTCTCTGAGCCAGTTTTTCTTCAGTGGTAAGTCGTTTAATCTATTTGTGGTTCTTCCTGCTTTCTTTTTACAGCTGATCTCTAGTTTCAAAGCATTATGATCAGATAACATGGTAGTATGATTTCAACTCTCTTATATTTGTTGAGGCTATCTCTGTATCCCAGTATTTGGTGAATCCTTGAGAATGTTCCATGTACCCTAAGGAAGAATTTATAAGCAGCTGTTTTGGGATGGAAGGTTCTGTAAATGTCAATTATGTCCAATTGGTCTAATGTATCATTTCAGGATGTTATTTCCTTATAGATTTTCTGCTTGGATGATATGTCTATATCTGACAGTGGGGTATTTAGCTTCCCTACTATGAAAGTGTTTTTGTCTGTTTCTGCCTTTAGTTCTGTTAGTAATTGCTTTAATATTTTAGGCCTCCCTGATTGGGAGAATAGATATTAATAAGTGTGATCTCTTCTTGGTGACTGATTTCCTTTATCATTATAAAGTGTTTCTCAGTATCTTTCTTTACCTTCTTTATTTTGAAGTCTATTTCATCCAATATTAGTACTTCTACTCCAATTTTCTATGAAAGTCATCTGATTGAAATATTTTCCACTCTTTCTCTTTGAGTCCATTTTTGTCTTTGGAGCTGAGATGTGCCTCCTGGAGGCAGCATATGGTTGGGTTTTGTTTTTTTATCTATTCTGCAACTCTGTGCCCTTTTATTGGTGAGTACAGTCCATTTACATTTAGGGCAATTATTGAAATATGAGATCTTCTTATAACCATTTTATTTTTGCTTTCTGGTAGCTTGGTGTTTCCATTGCTTCTTTGTTCTTATGTTTCTGTTTTCTTTATTTTGGTTGGGTTTTGCGGGTTTTCCCTCTGATCATTCTTGTTTTATGTTACATACTTCCTTTCTAAATCTGGCCTGTGGTTACCATTACAAATATGAAAAGGATAGTGGCAGATATACAGTTGTCCCTTTTCTTCTGCACATGCCTTATCTCCATTCCACTTTGTGAATTTAAATATTTGAATCTTCCCCTTTTCAGTCATTCTTGTATCAATTTGTCCTTCTATCTGCTAAAAGTTCATTACTATCTTGTTAAAGCAATTTTTTTTCTTATTTTAAGCTTAGAATGCCCTGTTCTTAGTAAGGATTGTACTCCTCTGCTTTTATCAGCCTGCTAGTCACCTTACTCCTAATTATGATTTTGTTTGTTTGTTTGTTTTAGGTGGGCATTAATGGAAGTGTGTTCTGCTTTTTGTTTGTTTGTTTGTTTGTTTATTTGTTTTTGTTTTATGTTACTTTAATATTTCTGAGATTCGTTGTAGAGAATTTCTTGAATTACCATTAGAACTCTTTAGGTCTTGCTTTTGTATTTCCTGGTGTGGTACGTTAGCCTAGGGGACTTATTGGGTCTGCAGTAGATCTGGGGCAGAAGGAATAGAGGTTTCTGATGTATTAACAGGGCTTAGAGCCAACGTCTCCAACATCTGAGTTGGGGGAGAACAGCTTTTACATTGCTGTTTTGGTGGTGCTGTTGATTTGGAGGGGGTGGGCAGGGCAGGACGGTTGGTGAATGGACTGACAGATACACATCTGTCCTATTCATTCTCGTAGATCCCTTCTGAACAGTACCGCCAGCTTCTCTGACTACACCATGGAGGCATCGTCAGTCAGGTCAGAGTACCTAAGAAGATCAGTTTTGTTAGAATGTGTGGGGGATGGGCTGTAGGGTTGCAGACACATGTAGGTCTTTCTCTTCTCAGAGCCTGATATCTCTCCCTAATAAATCCTTGCCAGCCTCGCTGGCAGAGCCAGATTTTGTGGTAACAGATTTTGCCAAGTCCTCTCGCCCTGCCCTGCTGCACATTGGCTTCCAGGCCCTGTACCAGTTCTGTGCTCAGCACAGCCATCCCCTTGTCCCCACAATGAGGTTCATGGGTGGGAAAGCCATCCTGAGTCCCAGGTCCACAGCCAACCATTCTTTTCTGTCTACTTTCTCACCCATTTCTCCCTGTCCCCATAGTTTCCTGACTAATTCCCTTTTGATCCTTTCTGTCCTACCAGAAGTATGCACCAGAACTGGCACAGACTGTGAATGCCTAAGCCCTGCCAACAGTACAGCAGGGCGACTTGGATGAAGAGCTCATTCGGAAACTGGCACATGTGGCTGCTGGGGACCTGGAACCTATGAACGCTTTCATTGGGGGCCTGGCTGCCCAAGAGGTCATGAAGGTTGGTGTGGGTGGAGAATGAAAGGGCTAGAAATGGTCCAGGTGGCTTCCTATCTTGTCTTCAGGGTTTAATTAACTGGAGACCACATGCCCTTTCTGTCCCCTGCCCAGGCCTGCTCTAGGAAGTTCATGCAGTGGCTGTACTTTGATGCCCTTGAGTGTATCCCCAAGGACAAATAGGCCCTCATAGAAGACAAGTGTCTCCCGGTATGTGGGTGGGACCCATGGGGAAATGGTTATTGCAAGTCTGTGTAAAACAGCTCTTCTCTGACCCTCTTTCTTTCACGTGACTCAGTGCCAGAACCATTACGATGAACAGGTGGCTGTATTTGGCTCAGACCTTCAAGAGAAGTTAGGCAGGCAGAATTACCTCTTGGTGAGTGACCACGTTGGATACCAGCTACCTTCATCTCTAATACCCTCTCATCACCTCATCTGGAATCTCCTCCCATCTCATGAGGAAGAATCTTGTTTCTTACATCCTTGTCTCATCTTCTTTTCTATTTTCTTCATACCAAGAACAAGCCTGATGTGTCCCTTTATCCTCCCCTCTGGTGGCCTCCTTTATTCTGCCCTCTACAGCCTCCTTCTTTAGGTGACCCTCAGTTTTTTATGGCCCTGGGACCTCACTGTGGAGTATTAGACTCATACCCTCTTGCTGTCTCTACAGGGGGATTGAGGGGATAAAGGACTTAACTCTGTGGCTTCGCTACACTCAGTCTCACTAACCAGCCTCTGTCTCTCTCCTTGTGCTCCTCCTAGGTGGGTGCAGGGGCCGTTGGCTGTGAGCTGCTCAAGAACTTTGCCATGATAGGTCTAGGCTGTGGGAAGAGGGGGGCAGTCACTATTACAGACATGGACATTATTGACAAGTCCAACCTGAACCGACAGTTTTTGTTCCGGCCTCGGGATGTCACGGTGAGTGGGGCAGGCATGGTGAGGCGTGAGCTGCTTCTCCCACTTCTGTCTCATCTTTTTTGTGTTATCGATCTTCATAAATCCTTTCCTTTGCTGTTCTCCCATATAAGTCTTGCTTTCAGTGCATATTTTGTTGTGTACTGAATACATATTTTGACTTCATTTGTCATTGTTCACCTCCCTCATCCTTTTGTTGTCCTTTCACTGTTTTAGTCATTGCTGATGTGGGCCTAGGAACTATGGAAGCATGGTCGCTTATAGAGGGATCTTATCTGGGAAGGACTTGTCAAGTTCTGTGTCCTTTTTGCCTACTCCGAGTCCGTCCTTTGTCTCCTTTTATCATGTAATTAAGAGGCACTTCTCTATAGACATTTGGAACACATAAAGTAGCAGAAGAATAGTTCCTGCCCGTGACTAGTGGGAAGACACAGAGTAAATGAGAGGTTCTCAGAATGTGAACCTCTGAGGTCGTCTTAGGGTCCATGACGCACTTTCATGAAGTCCAGAAGATCACAGTCCTTTTAAGAAAAATACTAAGACATTATTGGTGTGTTTCGTTTTGAGGTTATCAGGTCAAAGTGGGATTGTTCACTTTACTCTAACTCAATGACACAGAGTTTGGCCAATGACCAGTTCACGATGCTGCCAAGGATCTGTGCACTACAGATCATTTCAGAATGCAAAATAAAGAGTATGAATTCCAGATTCTACCCTGCAGCTAAGCTTTAAAACACTATCACTTGTTTAGCTTTGATCTGTTTTTTTTAAATGTCCACATTTATTTGGAAGCAGTGTTAAAATATTTTTCTGTGAGATGGAATATCCCTTTATGCTGCAACAGAAGACAGATCAGATTAATCGCAGTAGCAGCGAGGAGAGTCCAGCAGTCCTAAGAGATTGTATGACTTAAAACACATTTGCAGAAATGTTAACACAATTTGACTATTGTTACTTAAATTTTGTATGGGACAATGTTTCTTGTGTAATGGAATATTTCTACTTTCAACTAGACTAATATTTTTAGGTTTTCTGTTTAAATTTCTAATACAGGCAATATTGATAGCTGAATCGCATGTACCAGAAGCTATTTTTAAGACCATTAGGTCATAGAATTTTTGCATTGGACAGTAAATAGAGTAGCAAAGTATACGGTTAACATTGGAAAGTTAAAAAGTGCTATAAATAGCAACAGTGGAAAATGAAGAGTAGAAAGTGGGGTGGAGGGCAGTTTGCAGTGTAGTGAAGGAAGTCCTCATTGGAAAGGTGACATTTCCACAAAAGCTTGCGATGATGTAGGAGAATAGGAAGATAGAGAAGAATGTACCAGGCAGAGTTAGTGGCCTGAATAAAACCATGAGATGGGAATGTGAGTTGGTTATAGTTGAGGCACAGAGAGATCCGATGGAGGAGACCATGGTAGGAGGTGAAGTGGGAGAAGTAGCAGGGGCCCGTTTATTTCACTGTAAGCGAAAGCGGTAGCCAGTGGAGGTTTTTGAGCAGAAGAGGAAGGGACCTTACTTGGGCTTTCACAGGGTCTATTTGTTCTTGTACTAGAATCTTGGTTTCATCTGTGTGAATGTACCCTAACTCTGGGTGATGTTAAGTTAAAAAAAAAAAAAGTTGCGTAGACAACAGAACAAATATCTGACTCACTCTCTTGTTTGTGTTGTTGTTTCCTTTTCTACTCACCCCCTGCCTCATTTGTCACATTTTCAGCATATCTCTTCTCCTAAACTAGGGACTTCCTGAAGTTAGAGCCTAGGTCTTGCCCATCATCATATAAATCAGTCCTCAGGACAGCTTTGCACAGGTTTGTTGGGTGACTATGTTAATAACAGCTCTGTTCCTTTGTGTGTGTCCAGAAATCGAAGTCTGATACAGCTGAAACATAACACAACACTCCAGGAATAAGGTACCTACATTTTAAGAGTAAGTTTTGCACACATATATGCATGTGTAACTGCTACAGAGGTCAAGGTGATAGGTTTTTAAATTGAGGTGGTGGGGGCTTGGGAAGTTAGTGGAGCCACATTTGAGAGGCAGCTTTTCTCTCTTCTGCTTGCCATAGTAGGCATGTTTTTTGTTTTTTGTTTGCTTTATTTGTCAGTGGTCTTTCTCATACTTTTAGAAATCCATTTTGCCTCTCATACCCCATGTAATCTATTTACTCTGTCTGCAGTGGGCTCTTGATGACTTTGAAGCCCTCCTTAAGCAGCCAGCACAAAATGTCAACCAGTATCTCTCTCTGTCCATATGTTCCCTCAGCCTTTCTCCTACCAGCCAGCCAAGGCATGCTGTAACTACTGTAACCCTTCGTACCTGGCACACTTTGTGAATGACTAAATGAATGCTTGAGCCTCATGCTATTCAGTGGTGGTGGGGGTAGGAGGGAGATTCAGCACTGGTGTTCCATGGAGTTAGGCATACTCCAGGAGCCTCTGTGCAATCCACCTCTGATCTCGGATAGAGACTTCACATTTATGGAGCAGACAGTGTGGCTGGCAGGCACCCAACCCCTGGAGGTGCTGGAGGCCGTGCAGCGCAGCCTGGTGCTGCAGCGACCACACACCTGGGCCGACTGTGTGACCTGGGCTTGCCACCACTGGCACACCCAGTACTCCAGCAACATCCAGCAGCTGCTGCACAACTTTCCTCCTGACCAGGTATCACATACTTGCTGGGTCCATTTGTCAGAATACGTGGCCTGTAAATAGGGAGCTTGCTACAGGTTGCTGACATGGCTCACTCCCGTTAATCCAGCCATGGCGAGCATACCAAGGTGTGGAGCTCTAATGAAATCATTAAGCCAGTGCTTTGTGTCATTGACTGCCCCTTCCACCCACTGCATGCATTTTGTCTCCACCAAGAGACTTGGTTTCTGTTTTCCTTACCTGCAGTAAGACCTCTTTTCCCCCTCCAGTTGCAACTATGACCAACGTTCCCAGCAATGAGCTTCTGTGGGAAGGAGACAGTGACCAGGTAGTCATTAGAGAGGTTCTCCCTCCCTCTCCCTGCTGTCCTGTCTCGTGCTCTGTAAGTCCTCCTCTACGCTGGATCTTCTCTCTGTATAGATCCTTTTCCTCCCCTTCATATCCTCTCTCCTCCTCACCCTATCTTCCTCATTTTGTTTTCCAACTTCGTACTCATGTGCTCTCTGTATCTGGCTGTCTCCTCTTCCAGTGTTTTCCCATCTCATTCACCATTCCTGGATTGATCTCCAGCATTCTTTCCCTTGGTCCCCCTCTTCAGATTTTCTCCTGTTTATCCCTTTTCTTATTTCTCTTTTCTTCTCTGTCTGCATTTCCTCCAGTGCCTCTTCATGTATCTTCTTCCCTGTATCTCCCTCCCATTTTTCCCTGTATGTTCCTTTGTGTCTCTCCATCTCCATCTTTTTCATTTGTCTTCAAGGTCTCCTACATTTATATCTCCATCTACATGCCTTTGAAAACTTTTTGTTAAGAAAACACATAGGATTTACTGTATTAATCAGTTGTGTGTGTACTGCTCAAGAATTTTAAACACATTGGCATTGTTGTGCAACAGAGCTCTAGAACTTTCTGGTAAATCTGAAACTTATCCATGAAACAATAACCCCATACCCCTCACCCAGGCCTTGGCAGCCACCATTCTGCTTTCTATCTCTCCAATTTTGATTCTTGTAGACATGTCATGTAAAAGAGGATCATGTGGTACTTGTCTTTCTGACTTTCCCTAAGCATAGTGCCCTCTAGGTCTGTCCATGTTGTTTTAAGTAACAGGATTATTTTCCCTTTTTAAAGCTCTTTAACATACCATAAAATGGGTGGAGCACATTTTCTTTATTCATTCATCTGTCAGTGGACACTGGGTTGCTTTCACCTCTTAAGTATTGTGACTAGTGCTGCTGTCTACATCACACTTTGTGAATGTCTTCATTTTAGTTCCCCAGGGTCTGCAGATGCTTCTCTCTTCAAATCTCCACACCTGCTTACTTCTGTCTTTACTAGAGTGTTTCCTGCTCTACCTTTTTTCCTCCCCACTATGCTTTTGCACAGTGTCTCTTTTTTTCAATCCTTTATCTGCCTGAACAACTCTGGCCACCCTGGGCTCCTGTTTTTTGGCCTCAGTCCCTGACCTGGGGTGAGACCTAAATGACTGACATGACTATCCCTTCTTGCAGATGATACCCACCTACAGAAGCTCAAAGTAATGTTGCCCAGCCCAGAGATGCTCCCTGGGTTCAAGATGTACCCCAACAACTTTGAGAAGGGTACCCCTTGGCAGAGTAGGATGCACTGGGGTGTATCCTAGGATTGTGTGGGGATTATAGGCCTGCCACATTGCTCAGTGATCACCTTGGTGGTCTAGGGGAGAATTTGCCTGTTCTGTCAGGTATCCAAGGTATAAAACATTTGAGTCTCCAATAGGCAAGAACCCATTTTACCCTGTAACCCTGTCTCCCCTATCCTTGTTTCATTTACATTCACAATAGGATGATGACAGCAACTTCCACATGGATTTAATTGTGGCTGCATCTAGTCTCCGGGCAGAAAACTTTAACATTCCCCTTGCACACCGATATAAGGTCATGATTGTCCAGACGTCATCTTTCAGTCCTTTCCAGGCTTGATTCTTCCAGCATTTGGCCTCTTCTGTAGTCCCTAAACGTCTCTATTGGCTACTCGGTCACTTTCTGTCTCACAGAGCAAGCTAGTTGCAGGCAAGATCACCCCAGCCATTGCCACAACCTCAGCAGTTTTAATTGGCCTTGTGTATCTGGAGCTCTACAAGGTGGTACAGGAACATCAACAGATTGAGTCCTATAAGAACAGCTTCATCAACCTCGTCCTGCCCTTCCTCAAATTCTCTGAGCCCTTTGCCATGCCTCATCACCAGGTGGGGGCCTGCTTGTATGCACACTGTTGGTCTTATCCATCAGTGACTGAGGTTGTGCCCTTGTTTTATGTGTGTGTATACGCTGTAATCTTGGCCATGCCAGGTGAGGCTTTGTACAGTTGGATTACCTATCCCTTAGGTATACTGTTTATTAATTCATCAGAAATATTTTGGTACATAGACAAAGTAGGAGTGTGACAAGCATGTATTGGAACTAATGTGAAAAGAGCCAGCAAACTTAGAGGGTATTGAGTGGGAAGGGAAAGGGTATGGGAGGTGAGTAAAGAAATTAACAGATTCTCTGCAGTGTGGGGCCTTGTCTGTCCCATACTGCAGTGTTAGTCAATTACTCATGGTGAAGTAGGGCCATAAGAGGAATAACGTTTGAACAGAAGAGAGTTGTGATTGATTTTACTTCATAGGTCAAGTGGACTGATAGGGGCAAAACATCTGAGATGGCCTCTGTTATGCTCCCTTGGGCTTTATTCCACAGTACAATAACCAAGATTGGACACTGTGGGATCGCTTTGAGGTACAGGGGCTTCAGCCTAATGGTGAAGAGATGACCCTCAGACAGTTTCTCAACTACTTTAAGGCAAGGCTCCATTTTTACTCACTACCCCGCTGCTGTGAGGGTGGAGTATGCAGGTGACTAGTACTCTTCAAGTGACACTATTGTCCCTCCTCCTTCGCATCATCTCCAGAGAGAACACAAATTAGAGATCACCATGGTGTCCGAAGGAGTGTCCATGCTATACTCCTTTTTCATGCCAGCCACCAGACTCAAGGAACGCTTGGATCAGCCGTGAGTTGTTCACTGGGCAGGCTGAGGGAGGCCCTGTGTGGTGGGGTGGGAGTCTCAACTTCTAGCTACGCCACTCTTGTTCACTTTCCCCTCCCTTCTTTTAGCCATGTGTCCTTTCTTGCCTGCTTTCTATCTCCCTGACCCTCTTCTCTCTCATCCCAGAATTACAGAAATTCTGAGCTGTGTGTCCAGCATGTACAGGCGCTGGTACTTGAGATGTGCTGCAACAATCTTGGGTTAGGACATCTTTTATGGTAGTTGGTGGGGGAGATTTATTGTAGATTTCCTCTCTTTTATATGGTTGAGATGGAGTGAGCCCTCAGAGCACCTCATTGGTACTGACTGGAACAATCCATACTGGTAGATAGAGATTACGTTTCCAGGAGAGGCTGAAACTAATTAGAGATGGGGTCCAAAATCTAGGTTTAGTTTCAGGGCTATTAGCATGTGTGGCACCTTTTGGGGACCTGTATTTTTTAATTTTCTTTCTCTCTCTCTCTCTTTAACTTGACTTAGAAGATACTTGCCTGTGGGGAAAGTTACTGAAGTCCATCTCTATGAGGAACAAAACAGCCTCAGATGCTACTTCAAAGTTTGTAGTCTGGACCATAGATAGAAAAGGCCCTCAACTGGGCTTTCTGAGTTTCTGAAGATGTAGTGCATAAAAATGGAATGACAAGATAGACTGTAGAGGAACACTTCTTGGGAGATAGAGTTTGAATTGTCAACATTATCAGAGTGAGTAGTGGGCAGGTCTTACCAGGAGATGAAGCATTGGCCCAGGCAGCCTTGTCAACATCTACCCTGATGAAAACCATCTGCTTTAGCAGAACTAAGCTAAAGATCCTGCACACTATTCATCTCCTGTCTTCTGGCATTCTCCAGTCAGTAATTGCTCAGCCAGCACGTGGAATGCAGTCATCCCCCTCAGACCTCTCCAGGAACACCTACAAGAAAACAGCTCTAATCAGAGGGTTAGAGTCAGCAGCAGGAGAAGCATCCTGACCCACACAGCTGAATGACAAACTCAAAGATCAAAGAACGGTCCAAACCTATGCTTGAAAGGATCAGGCAAGGAAGATTTCCAGGGCCTTTTCCAAACCACCCAAGGGACAAATGAGGAGCTCTAGGGAATGCTAGAGAATGATAGAGGCAGAGTCCAGCACAGGCCATAAAGTGAATCCAGGAGACACAGGCAAGTTATTTGTGGGAATAGGAAAATCAAGAATGTAAGAGCCTGATGTGAAGGATGCTTGCCAGGCTTTAACGATGGGTCACATCTCATCACACACCAGGGCAGACACTCAGGGGAGAAGACCTTTTTGTTTGCATGCAGTGTGAGTAAGGCTTCAGTGTAAAGTCACATCCCATCAAATGCAAAAGGACACACTCAGGGGAGAAATCTTTTGTTTGCAGGGAGTGTTGGTGAAGTTTTACACAAAATTCACATCTCAGCAGACACCAAAGGGTACACACAGGCAAGAAGTCCTCTGTTAGCAGCGAATCTTTTGCAAAATATTGCATCTCAATGGCCCCAGGACAAAAGTAGCCACCACTGCCTTGATGCTCCAGTTCTGTGGAGGCATCAAAGAGGGCCTCCTGATTCCTCAACCTCTGCAAAATGAATGAGTGAAGAAGTAACTGGTTAACAAATCTTCCACTTTCTTGGCAAGAGACAAGCTAGACAAGTCATTCTTACTTGCTAGGGGATATCAACACCAGTCTCCATGATATATTCTTGCCTCTTGGTCTAAAAACTTTTGTCTCCATACAACTCTGAAGCTTGCATGCCTCATTACGTTCTCTTTCACTTTGTCAGTGAAAACAGAGGGGTCCAGGAGGGCCACAGAGAACTTCTACCTTCAGCCATAGAATCTCAGCACCTGGAAAGGCGTAAGCCTGGAGTCAATCTAGTTAGGGGACTGCCCAGGTTGAGAAGTCTAGGATTTGAGAAAGACTTTTCAGGGATAGGAATTCCCTGAACTGCTAGCAAGCATGGACTTTTCTGCCAAGAGGCACCCCATCCTCCTCACTCTGCTTCTCTTGGCTCCTCTCCTGGTTTCCTCCAAGTTAGAGCCTGGGCAGGAGCTGAGCATGTATGTGAACGTGTGCCTGGCTCAGTCTGGGCCCCTGGTCTCTTCACTCTCCATGCTGTTCCTTCACTGTCAGCATCTCATGGTGCACAGCATGTGGACACCAGATGGGAGGGTTTGACTCTCAGCTCTGCCCTCACCAGTTGTTTGACCTGGGGCAAGATACTCTACATCTCTGTGTCTGTGTCTATGGACAAATGAGGATAAAAGCCTTGGAGCCTAGACATTCAGAGGTTGCACAGACACACTGTTTTCTCTACATAGACTCTGCTGCCCTAAGTAATTGTGAGGCCAGGGAGGCAAGCATGTACCTTTCTCCAGGCCACTGCCCTTCCCACTGAGCCTGGACTGACTTAGAGCCTCCTTCCCCAAAAGGCTGTACTGAGAGTTACCTGTGAGACAGGACCTCACCTGCTCCTGCTATGAGCTCTCTTTGGGGACAGCGATGAGTGATTCTCTGAGCCCCTGCACGACCTCATCTGCATAGGGTTCACAAAGTCCCCCACATGGTAGTTTCTCTAATGCACTTCTTTGTACCTGGGCCCAGAGAGGTTTGTTGCAGCACTATCATCATCCCGACATTTTAGTTATTGTATCTTTAAACTTACCTGTATTAGGCTAAGTCCGATGGGATGCTGGACGTGCTATGAGCAGAGCAGTCATGCATAATGATGGACATTCTTGGCCGCCTGCTCACAGATATTGTCCACCATGGCTCAGAAGAACAGAATCTCTAGACCAGCTCTTAACCAGCCCTGTGCACCTCCGCAGGCATAGGGAAGGTTCTGAGTGAAGCTTGCAGGCCATACTGGCCCAGATGACTCGGCTGGTCTAAAAGGGCTCTAACCTCAGCCTAAGTATTCAGTGCTCACTGAGCTTAAATGAAGCCCAAAGAACAGGTCTGGGTTCCATGGGCTGATCCTACCCAGCGTTGGGGAGTAATGACAGATGGCCACCTTATGTCTAGTCCAGAGACCTGAGCAGATTTCTATCAGGCTATGTGAGTCAGGTCCTTCGTCCAGAATCCAGAGACATGCTCAAGGCGGAGAATCTTAGGTTCAAATCCAAAGTGACCCTTTATCTCAGTTCTGTGGATGGACCTGGGACTTTCTGTGCCCATCCTCCAAATCATAGGCAGCAGGAGGTGCATAGGCCTCAGGAGGTGCAGTGCAGGTTAAGGAAGGCCGTCTGTTCTTGAGAGCATTCCCCTGACAGTGATTTGCATCAGTTGGCCAGATGGGTTGGCAAGACACGTGACCTACCTGCGTTTAGCATCTGTGAAAAGGGGACAGTGATTTTGGCCCACCTGGGTGAGGGAGGACACAGTAAATAAGTCATGACAAGGTGATAACACATTTTTCAAACAATGATAGATGTAAACCCAGACCCATCTGATCAAAGAACCCACACTCTGCTGTGAGAAGAAGCCTATTAATAAAAATTCTGTTGAACTCTGTTGCTGGGCCTGCTATACTTGGGACGGCCACCACTAGGTGGATGAAGACTTGGTATGTGTCCTTTGATCCCAAGACAGAAATGTCAAGACTCAGACAGAGAATGGAAAGACACAATGCCCATATTCCCAGTAAGTGCACAGTGGAGATGTATCTGAACATCCCTTAGATGTTTCTAAGGGATTTTTTCATTTCTTCGAGGTTGTCTAATTTGTTGACATATAATTGTTCATAGTATTTTTCTTATAAACCTTTGTGATTTTGTAGGGAGAGTTGTTAGCTCTCTTTCATTTCTAATTTTATTTATTTGAGTCTTCTCGTTTTCTTGATGATTCTGACTAAAGTCTTATGAACTTTGTCTTTTCAAAGAACCGATGACTCTCGCTTTCACTTATCTTTTCTGTTGGATTTTAGATGCCAATTTGATTTTTTTCCCACCCTGATCTTCATATTCTCTTTCTTCTAATCACTTTGGACTTTTCTTTTCCCTTCAGTTAATTTAAGTTAAGAGGTAACCCTGTCTTTGAATTTCTTTGAGGTGGGCCTGTATTGTCATACATTTTCCTCTTTAAATGTTTTGTACCGTAAACTTTAGGCTGCAGAGTTTTCTTGTTTTCGTTTGTCTCAAGATGTATTGTGATTTCTTCCCAGATCATTGTTAACTCGTGTAGTAGTTAGTAGCACTTCTTTTTGTTTCCATGTGTTTGTGTGTTGTTTCTTGTTTCATGCCAATGTGACTGGAGAAGAATGTTGATATAATTTCAATCTCATATTTCTCAAAACTCGTTTTGTGGTGTAACATGTTCTCTATCTTGAAGATGTTATGTGCCCTTACAAAGAATGTATATTCTGCTTCTTTTCAGTAAAATGTTCTGGAAAGAACAATTAAGTGTGGTTGACTAAAGCATCATTTAAGGCCACTTTTATCCTTGTGGATTTTGTGTCCTGGTGAGGCATCCCCTGATGTCAATGGGGTTCTAAACTTTTATTATTATTGTTTAACTATTGACTCCAGCTTTATGTCTAGCAATATTAGCTTTATATATTTAGTGCTTCTTTTTGTGTATGTACATACTTTCAAGAGTTAAAATCTCTGGTTGTATAGACCCCTTTATCAATATAAAGTATCTCTTCTTTTCTTGTCTCTTTTTATAGCATTTGATATATGTGTTGCTATCCTGACTTATCTTTTTTCAACTTTTATTTGCATAATAGTTTTCCACTGATTTTTTTCTTACTGTGTGTTTCTTTTGGTCTGTAGTGGATCCTTTGTAGGCAGTATATATATATATGGGTTTTATTTTTTATTTTTAATTTTTTTATCCACGTGATTTAATTGGAACATTTAGTTTCTTTTTTCTTTTCTTTTTTTTTTTTTGATTTCAAGTAATTATTGATAATTCTGTAGCTTTTTTCTGATTATTTTTTCTAGTTCTCAGGTTTTTTATAATTCTTTGCTCTTTTCTCTTGAGTGTCGATGAGGCTCTATAGTGCTATGCTTGGCTTTACTTCTCTTTATTTCTTGCATTTCTCTTCAGATCATTGATTTGTAATTATCGTGTGCTTCCTCTATATCAAACTATGTTTATAGCAGTCTGTTTTAAGTTGATGATCATTTAATTTGATCACATTTTAAAATAGTCCAAAGTTTACTCATTCTTTCTGTGTTCGAGTTTTTGTTATTATTTTTTACATATCATGTATGTATGTTTCCTGTATCATTTATTTTACATTGTAATTTCACAAGATTTTTACTTTTGTCTTTTAACGTTTGTTCTAGGTTTATAGTTTGTTTGTCCTGTCTTTTTACTATTTGCCTTTGTTAGTAAGATTTTGTTCTTTTCCTTAATTCCTTTTTACTATTTTTGATGTTGTTTTCTATTTTCAAAATTTGTTTAATGTTTCTTGTAAAAATCTTTTTTGTTGTTGTTGTTCTCGTTTAGTGATGATGAACTTACAGATTTGTATCTTTACTTCTTCAGTTCTAAATGATAACTTTAAAGGGCAGTGCAATCCTGATTATAAGTTATTTGCTTTTCATCACTTTAAATATTTCCAGGCAATCCTTTCTGACTTGAAATTTTTCAGTAGAGAAATCAGCTGACAGTCTTATGGGAGCTGCTTTCAAGATAAATAGCTGACCTTGTCTAATTACTTTTAAGAATCTCTCCCTACCTTTAAAATTTGCCATTTTAATTAGGATGTGTTTTGTTGTGGGCCTGTCTGGGTTCATTTTGTTTGAGACTCTGAGATTTGGGGGCTTGCATGCCTATTTCCCTAACTAGGGAAGGGAAGTTTCCGGCCATTATTTCTTCATCGTAAGTTTTTAACACCTTACTCTCTCTTCTACCTCCAATATCTCAGTGTTGTGAATGTTGGTATGCTCCATGTTATCCTGGAGACACCTTAGAGTAGCTGCATGTTTTTTTGATATCTTTTATTTTTTTTTTATTTTTTC